GCGTAGAGCTCTGTCTTGAGATGGAACTGCCGGGAGCGCTGGTTGTTGAGGAAGAGCGCTTCCAGCTTGGTCCAAAGCTCAAAGGCCGTGGCTTTCCGGTCCTGAACAAACCCGAGAAGTTCAGGACACATGGTGTTGTAGAACCAGGTTTTTACCGCTTTGTTGATGATGGTCCACGTCGGGTCGTGCTGATGATCGGAGAAGTCGGGCGAGACGTGGGCGTTCACGTCGAACTGATCGAAGGCCTCTTCCATCAGCCCACGCCAGATGGAGTAGTTCTTCCCCTGCATGTCGAGGACGATGCGGACGCGGTGGAAGATGTTGGCGCCTTCGACGCGCTCGGCATGGAGCTGCGCCGCCGTCTTGAAGTGGGGGAGGGTAGGGGCGACAAGGAGCGGCAGTGGAGAGGGGGCGACCTGCAGAGGGGAGGTGGCCGGTGGGGGAGGGGGAGGCGAGGAGGAAGCCTGAGGAGCGCCCATGGCGGCGGCGGCCGCGGCGGCGGAGGTTTCCTCGGCCATGGCGGAAGCGAGAAAGGAGGATCACAAAACTGATACCATGTTAAACTATAAGAATGAGCTCAATATGCTAGTTGTATTCATCCTCTCAGGGGCAGCATATATAAGAGAGTACACTTTGAGAGAGGGAGAGAGGATACAACGCACGCACACACACGCTAAGCAACAGCCGATCCTATATCCAAGGAGTAGATAGAGACGGCTTGACCCTGCATGGCTCATGCAAGGGCGGTGCCATGCGACTCGCACGGGAGACCAGCACGGCTGGCGCAAGACCAGCTTGCCGGTTATGATCTCAGTCTAACAATCTTTATGCCTAGAACAAAATTGGCGAGCTAGAAATCCGATCCCCTTTCACGTAATACCCTGAATTGATCAAACCACCACCCACTCCATCAATTGCTCGATTCTAAAGGACTCTCAGACGCGAAGCAGTGATCCTGATCCGCAGTTTCAAACTCAGAGATCATAGCAGTTTTTTCAAGAAGAAAAAACGACTGAAGCGGACGGTTAAGGTTCAGAAAACTGAGCGGCTGCAAATTCAGATGACCACAGAACAGGAACACAAGCAGTTGCGGCGGCGGGAAAACTGCAAGATACGAAGGCAGAGTAGAGTAACTTACTTGCGTCAGTATTTTCTTTCTTACCACTACTTTCTGCCTGATCTTCTTCGCGCTTTACCGCCGACGAACTGACCTCGGCACAGCTAACGCATCGGTCTGAATGTCTGATATAGAAGGATCAGAGAGGCCTCTGTCTCTGACCGGGCGAGGCGGAGCAGGTGCGAGAGTGCGACTCGCGGAGGAGGAAGGAGGCGAGTATTTGCTGCTGCTGCTGCTACTGCGTGGTTGTGCCTGTGCTTGTCGCATCTCTCATCCGAATCGTCTGGTTCCGATGGCGACGCCCGGCCCGCGCTTCCCTGGGAGCTTCCGGTCCTGGCCGAGGAACGGACGGCGACGTGTGAGCTCCGCTCTGCTGGCCCAATGGTATGGTAGCGAGTGGTGCAGTCTGAGGGACGGCGGAGGAGAGAGCGCATACTTTTCCTCTCCGCCATCTCTCTCTGTCCCTAAAATGCACGAGTTTGACTCAACTTTCATCGTGTACTAGAGGATAGCCTTGATTGATGAAAATTTAGTACTAGTAAGTTATAATAGCATGAGAACTAAAATTAAAAATCCATATGACTTGCTTCATACTATTTCAAAAGTATTTTCAATTTTTTGTCTTTTTTATAATTACTACTAGTATTTCTTCAGTTTGTTGACCCGGGTCAACGCTCCTTTTGTAGTAGGACACCCGGGTCAACGATCTAACCCTGGCACCCACTGGACTGGAGACTCGCGGAGCCGGAGCCGAAGCCGGAGGCAGACGACTCCACCGCCGGCGAGGGTTAGGATAGCAGGGAGATTGCCTCGTCTCGTCTCCGGCCAAGCCCGCCCCCACTCCACCCCACCCCATCGGCCTGTCCCTCTCGCCCCGGTGCGGCGCCAGGGCCTCTCTGCCCCGGTCAAATCACCCCTCTCCCCCCGTGGCCGCCGCGAAGTAGACTCCCTGCCGGCGGCGACGACGAGGTAAAGCCAGCCAACAGCCCCTACATTACATGTATCCATGCCCCTTTTGCGTTGTCCGCAGGACGCGGGTGCTGAATCTGAACCGCGTTCAGAGCTTGATTTGTTCTCTGAATCCGCGAGCTCGACCTTAATCAAGCGTCCCGCAAACCGTTGTCATCTCGAGCTGGTGCAACAATTTTATCTGACGTTGCTCCCACTGACGAGACGAGATGCGACGTGTGGCATTCAATATATATTCTGCTTGTGTTTGTCAGTTACTAGTAAGTAAGAAGACATTTGCAGGAACGCTATTGGGGTTGGTAACTTGTGATGTTGCCCAGACACTCATGGCATATGGTTGGTGCCCTCGTTATCAGTATGACTTAGCTAGCTAGCTACCTTTGACTCATTTATGGCCATTCTTTTGTCAGCCTGAGAGTGTTCGCCATTTTTCGTTTGAGTTTTCAGTTGTCAACAGGTGTGGGCTCAAACTGAGCTATATACATACAGAGAGCTAAGAGTTAACTTACAGTTACAGAACATCCATCAATCCAATGGAACAGCTATATACCAGCATATATTCTCCTCCATGTCTTCTCATTCCAGCACGAAGAACCCGCGATACTTGACAAGAAATATGAGTTTATTAGTACTCACACTTTTCTGAAATACTCAGTTGTTTTCTGTATGTATATAGCTCAGTTTGCTGCTATAGATACTGTACTGCTCAGGCTTATCTGAATATAGCCCTATTATACTTACTAGTGGGCGTCTCGAAAACCTTTGTAAGCTTCCATGACTGACCCTCATGATCAGAATACAACACTGCATGGTCTGTATGGGCAAATGCTTAATTCTCAAAATGGCCATCCATACCATTTCCATAGTTCCAGAAATCCTAATTCTTCCCCCTTGTCAAAAACAAAAGGAGAGGCACGTAATCATGAAGGCAAGGCCCCAAAGCCATAGGGAACCTCGGAAAGCATGTGGCTATCAGGCAGAATACTGTAGCAGGAGTTCTTGATTGCAGTGGGCTGTTCAAGACTATAGAAGTGGTCAGATGTGCATTCCATGAACATTGAACTGATTGAATATTCACACAGGAACATTGCTTTCAGATAATACATCATTTTGTTGGAAAATAATTGAGCTTCAACAACCACCGCAAGAAAACTAACATTGACTTGGCTTGCAGGTTCTCTGGTTGCTTCTTGATGGCTCATGGCTTCGACTACAAGACTAGCATGATGCCCCGACTCACCAACCCATGGCACTATTTTGATGATTTCAGATTCTGAAGCGCGCAAGGAGGCCACCACAGGTCCAAATCTGGCCAGATCTATAGCGATTACAAGCCAGGTGCCATTCTGATGATATTATGTCCTTCAATTTGGTTCTGTTGCTATTTCTCCTCTCAATATCCTAAGCTAGGTGGATGAAGTATTAACCAGTTTTCCTTTCCATTAAATGCCAGGTAGGCGGTTGTTCTCTGGTTTTAGTGGGTAAAGGTAACAAGAGAACACCTGAAGTTGAAATCACATCCAACTACTTGTCAGCAACAGCAACCTAGCATACTCTCAGTCATACACACGACTCCATGAGAGTTCACGGTCTCCACAATTAAGCTTCAGTGACAACTTCGATTCAGAAATCCATGAGACTATTCTGATGGTTTCAGATTCAGAAATTCACAAGGAGGTTACCAAATTCGATTGGTTCTATGCCATCCGGCAGGTGCGTCGTCCTTCCATAGTTTTCTGGCTATCTTAGGTTGTACTCTGGTCGAGCTTCTTAATTTGTACAGCTTCAAGGTCTGGTGAGCTGGCAGTGTTCAGGTTTTAGTTGATATCCATTATTTCCAGTGGTGGAGCCACCCCACTGACCGAGCATGGGCAGGGTCACCGCTGGCTGGTGTTTGCCCAGCAAAACATCATTGCTAACCCATATATTGACGCTAATGCTTAATAGACTCTCTGGTTGAGCCCAGGCAGCTGCCTGGGGTCACCGTGAGCTGCTCCATCCCTGATTGTTTCCTTGCATTAACAATATATCTGGAATCGATCTGCAGCGCAGTTGTTGATAATGCTTTGTACTGGTGATATACCTAGCACACGATGAGCATATGCTCTTGAATTCTTGTTACGCTAATGTGGAAATTTCTAGCCTCCTAAAATAAACATTCTTGATGTGTGAGTGTCTCCTAAAGTGCATATGACAGCTCCTTTTAATTAAAGTGGTTTTAGTTACAGTAATAGTATATTGATTTCTCCTAATGAGTAATGACTCCTCTAGTCCTCTGACATTATAGCTTTGCTTCCTTATTTATTTCTTTATTGTGATACGTTTTCTTGTGGCCTAATCAACAACTCTAGCTATTTGTTTCTGCATAAATCTGGAGAAGATACATATGTTGAGAAAAATGGAACTAAGTTACTTGGAGCTGGCCGGTATGTCAGATAGTCTCCCTCTTCACCTCACTTGTTTAAATCTTCAATATTTGGGGCCTTTTAACCTGAGATGTCCCCTACAGGGAAGCGGAGCGTACATGGTCACTTAGTTGGTTGAGTGTCACTCGCTCTTGTCAGTTAATAACATTTAGTTTGCCATTGACGATAGCACAGTCCCAAGTGTTTTAAAATCCTCATGGACCTGCACGTCGTAAGTTCTGTTTTTTGATTGATTATTATGTGGGTTAGCGTTAGATAGGTTAACTGTATGAAATCAGAGTTTAGGAGGATTACTTTAAAAGGTTCTGCTTATTTCACCACAGCAAGTGTTTTATTTCATTGTGGTTGGAGAGTTTTGAAGTGTTTCAGCAAGTGCTTGCTACTAACTAATGCTTCACTTCATTTTGCAGTGGTCATTGTAATAATACTGAGGCAAATATACAACTAGGCACCCAACCAACAGTGGTACATTAGCTGTTCAGAAAGTGATGGCGGAGATTGTGATTCTTCTAGCCATTAAAAAGATTGGAACCGCCTTGGCAAATGGAGTGGCAGACCAGGCCAGCACGTTGTTTGCGAAGAACGGGAAGCAAATATTAGCGCTACAGGGCAGCATGGGTCGTGTTGCGAGGGAGCTTCGAGTAATGCATGATGTTCTCTGTCAAATGGATATCCAAAACCGCAACAATCAAGTATATGAGGGCTGGTTGGAGGAGGTACGGAAAGTAGCACATGTGATGGAGGACATGGTGGATGAGTACTTGTATCTTGTTGGTCATGAACATGATACGGGATGTTGCTTTTACCTGAAGAAAGGGTTTACGAAACCAAGATATCTGCTTTCTTTGAACCGGATTGCTTTCAAGGTGAAGGAAATAGAGAAAGACCTAACACACCTGTCTGAGACAAAAAATCGTTGAGTTCACATGATAAACAATGGGGATACTAGCAGCTCAAGTTACATTGTCAAGAGGTCCAAAGATCTAGCAAACATTTCACGCTCCCTTGATGAAGAGGATCTAGTCGGTGTGGATAAAAACAGAGATAAACTTGAGCAGTGGTTATTGAGTGACGATTTGGAACGCTCTGTGATAGCACTGCTTGGAATGGGAGGGCTTGGTAAAACATCTTTAGCTGCAAATGTCTACAGGAAGCATAGAGAGAAATTCCAGTGCCATGCTTGGGTCTCCATCTCTCAAACTTATTCTACAGAACATGTCTTGAGGAATATAATCAAGGAACTTTCCCGAGATAAAGTCAGTGTGCTATCTAACACTGCGGCCATGGACATCACATGCCTTGAAGAAACGCTGAGGAAATTTCTAGAGCAACAGAAATATTTGATCATATTGGATGATGTTTGGACTCCAGAAGCATTTGATGACTTGTCTAGGGTGCTTATTAATAATAAAAAGGGCAGCAGACTGATGATCACAACAAGGGAAGGCGATGTTGCTGCACTTGCCTCTCAAGGACATACTTTAATACTGAAACCTTTACCAGAAGATAAGGCATGGGATCTCTTTTGTAGAAAAGCCTTTCCAAGAGATACAAATCATGAATGTCCTGCGGAGTTGTATCCTTTGTCCGAGCAAATAGTTAGCAAGTGCAAAGGCTTGCCTCTTGTTATTGTGTTAGTTGGTAGCCTCTTGCGTGTGCGTGAGAAAACTGTGGAAGAATGGAGAAGAATACATGCCCAATTAAGTTGGGAGCTAATCAACAATTCAAGACTCGATCACATAAGGAATGTTTTGCATCTGAGCTTCATCTACCTTCCAACACACTTAAAATGCTGTTTCTTGCATTGCAGCTTATTTTCAGAAGACTATTGTTTCAAAAGGAAACAACTTATACGGTTATGGACAGCAGAGGGGTTCATTGAAGAGAGGGGTGAAAGCACATTAGAAGAAGTGGCAGAAGGCTATCTGAAGGAGTTAATTGACAGAAACATGCTAGAACTTGTCAAGAGAAACTCATTTGGTAGGATGAAAGAATTCAAAATGCACGATATCTTACGTGAACTGGCACTTGACTTGTGCCAGAAGAACTGTTTTGGTGTTACATATGAGGATAAGCATGGGAGGTCTTTTGAGAGGAATGGACGTCGATTGGTATTGCACAAACAAAAGAAGGATATTCAGCAGTCATTTTCTAGTGTGCGCCGACTTCGAACATTCGTTATGCTGGACGATAGTATGGTAACATTTACTCTACTGCCTCTGCTATGTAAGGAGTCAAGATATATGACAGTGCTAGAATTAAGTGGTCTACTGTTATGGCCGGCCGGCTTAGGCCGCAAGTTATCTTAGTTTTTATTTTCAGATTAGGCAAGTTATCTTAGGCAAGTTATCTTAGGTGGATTCTTCTACAAGTTATCTAGGATATAAATATAGGTTGTAAGACTCTTTTTGAAGGCAAGCAATAAGAAGAATATTATCTCCTATTGCCCGGCTCCCTGAGGAGCCGGAACCCTAGCCGCCAACAGCCCTAGCCGCCGCCCTTCTCCTAGCCGCGACGGCGCCCTGCCGCCGGCGCGCCCGATCCTCGCCACGTCTCCCTCCATCCTTCCCTTACCACCTACACCCTAGACCTGGTAGAGTACTTGATCCTACCAATTTGGTATCAGGTAACCGAGTTTCGACCATGTCTCCGCCAATTCCACCGCCACCACCACCGCTGCCCGCCAACTCCTCCACCACCGCCGCCTCTGCGCCGGGCGTCACGGCCTCGCTCTCGGCGGGCACCACTGCGTCGCTCTCAGCGCCGGTCCTAACGGCACCCGGCACCACGCCGGGCCAAGGGCAGCCACAGGCCCCCGTCCAACACTCGTCGCCGCCATCACCTCCCCCGCAGCCGCAACAGTTCACGCCGGAGGCCATGGCGGGCGTCCTCAACGACCTCGTCACCGCGGTTCAAGGGATCCGCCTCTACCTGGCAGGTTCGTACGGGCCGCCCCCACCACTCCATCCAGCCATGGCCGCGGGTTAGCAGGCGCTTCCGTGGTACTCGGCATCGGGGGCCATCACCGGACTCCATCCAGCCATGGCCGCGGGTCAGCAGGCGCTTCTGTGGTACTCGGCACCGGGGGCCGTCACCGGAGGCTACCCGGCGCTCCTCGCCCCAGCGGCCGCATGGCCGCCTTGGGCGCAGTGGCCGCCGCAGATTGCGCCGGCAGCCCCGCCACTTCTCGCCACCACGGGGCCGCAGAGGCCCACCTGGACCGCGCCGGCCGCGCCGTCCTCCGTCGCGCCCTACCTTCCAGCGGCCTCAAAGCAGGGTCCTCCACCGGCCCCGCCCAGCCCTAACCTGGGCACCGGCGCCTCGGAGCAGGGCCAGACCCAGCAGCTTCTTCCGGCGTCACCGCCGGCCCCCACGCCGCAGGCGCCGATGCAGCTCCACCAGGCGCCGCCACCATCGACAGTACCACCACCCGTGCCTAGGGCTACGGGTCGGCCCCTGCACCAGGTGCAGTTTCCACCGTCACCATCGCCGATCCCCGCTTGGGCGACCGGCTCGTCTTCGGGGCCGGTCTACTCCACGGTGCCGGAACACCCGACGCCCTCCCTGCGGTTTGATCACCCCTCCAGCTCGACGAACTACGCCCCGGCGCTTCCCGACCCAGCATACGCGCCGGCGGCAACTACGGCCGCCCCCGGGCACGGCGGGCCGACACCCCCTCGCTTCGCCAAACTGGACTTCGCCACCTACGAGGGCACGGAGGAACCCCTCAACTGGCTCAACCAGTGCGAGCAGTTCTTTCGAGGGCAGCGGACGCTCGCTTCGGATCGCACCTGGCTCGCGTCCTATCATCTTCGAGGCGTAGCGCAGACCTGGTACTACGCCCTCGAGCAGGACGAGGGCGGCATGCCACCATGGGAGCGCTTCTGGGAACTCTGTCTCCTCCGGTTCGGGCCTCCTATCCGCGGGAGCCGACTGGCGGCCCTCGGCCGCTTACCCTTCACATCCACGGTGCAGGACTACGCCGACCGCTTCTAGGCCCTGGCGTGCCACGCGCCGGGCGTCTCCGCAACTCAGCGCGCCGAGTTATTTGTGGGCGGTCTACCGGACCATATCCACGTGGACGTGGAGCTTCGGGGACCCCAGGATCTCCAGTCGGCCATGTATTACGCCCGCGCATTCGAGCGTCGCGCGGTGGCCATCCAGCAGGAATCACCGTCCCAGACTGCTGGGTCGCTACCCGGACCGGATTCCACGCAGGGTCGGCCTGTGCAGGCTTCTGCGGCACCCCTCGCCGCGACCGCGGGGCGCCCGTTCCGCCGGCTCACCCCAGCTGAGATACTCGAGCGTAGCCGCCAAGGGTTGTGCTTCAACTGCGACGAACCCTACAAGCCCGGCCACGCCTGCCCGCGACTCTTCTACCTGGAGGTGGCAGACTACATTCCGGAGGACGCCGTCGCCGCCGACCTGGCCGCCCCAGATGTCGAGAAGGTGTTTGACGCTGGTTGATTACCTCGAAGAGTTCAAGCAAGCGCTTCCCCACCTTACAGCTCGAGGACGAGCTGTTTGTGCAGGCGGGGAGAAGTGTTATGGCCGGCCGGCTTAGGCCGCAAGTTATCTTAGTTTTTATTTTCAGATTAGGCAAGTTATCTTAGGTGGATTCTTCTACAAGTTATCTAGGATATAAATATAGGTTGTAAGACTTTTTTTGAAGGCAAGCAATAAGAAGAATATTATCTCCTATTACCCGGCTCCCTGAGGAGCCGGAACCCTAGCCGCCAATAGCCCTAGCCGCCGCCCTTCTCCTAGCCGCGACGGCGCCCTGCCGCCGGCGCGCCTGATCCTCGCCACGTCTCCCTCCATCCTTCCCTTACCACCTACGCCCTAGACCTGGTAGAGTACTTGATCCTACCACCATTGAGAATATTCCAGATGCTATTGGAGATCTTTTTAATCTCCGCCATTTGGGTTTGCGTGATTCAAAATTGAAGATGCTCCCGAGTTCTGTTGAGAAGCTTTCAAATTTGTTGACACTGGACCTTCTTAGATCTGATGTACATGAGCTGCCTAGTGGGATTGTGAAACTGAAGAAGCTTAGGCACTTATTTGTTGAGAAAAGAATTAATACAGATTTGAGAGGGATTAAATGTTTCGGTGGTGTGCATGTCCCTAATGGTCTTGGAAATCTAACAAACCTGCAAACGCTACAAGCATTGGTAGCACATGATGAGTCTATTAGACATTTACGACAGCTGAGGCAACTGAGAAGCTTGAGATTATTGGATGTGAAGGGAAGCTATTGTGGACGTATCAGCGAGTCTCTAGTTCAGATGCAGTGTTTGTCCCATCTTGATGTGAATGCAAGTGATGAGAATGAGGTTCTCTCGTTGAATGCCCCCCTGCCAAACCTGCAAACGCTACGTTTGGGTGGACGACTGGCGGAAGGGGCGTTGGACGCGTCTCCTCTCTTCCAAGCTGCTGGGAGGCAGAACTTGCATGTTTTGAATCTATATTGGTCACAACTGAGAGAAGACCCCCTGCCATCCCTTTCACGGCTGTCGAATTTGACGCATCTGGAATTCACCAGAGCATACAGCGGAGAGCAGCTATCATTTCTCACGGGATGGTTTCCCAAGCTAAAGATTCTCTATCTGATAGACCTGCCTAATCTGAATTGGCTAGAGATACAGCAAGGTGCCATGGCGAGCCTGGAAAGATTATACTTTGTCAACCTCAGCAGCATGATGGTGGTCCCAGCTGGCATTGAGTTCCTCATGCCCCTCCAGTCTCTAGGCTTCTTTGAAATCACTAGTGATTTCTTTTGGTTGCTGGATCAATGTTCTGCAATTCTAGGGACACAGTGGCGGTATACTCTCGGAGATTGACCTGCCACACTGGTTGGGAAATGTGTAATGCACCCGGAGGTATAATGTCCGGGTTTCTCTGCTTTTTCACATACTACACATCATTTGCTGCTTGTTCCACCTCTGCTAAGGTGCAGTTACCGCCTGTGTTTGCTACTGCTACTACTGTTCTAGTCATCACGTGCTTTTGCTTGTGAAATGTGATGGTATTTCCTACTGACTGATTCCGGCTGTGGCTTATTATAAGACTGCAAGCGAGTTGTGTTTTCGTATCCAAACTAGTTTTCGCTTAACTTGTTTAAACTGTGTACTGTTATTTCACGCACGTGTGTGTGCTTGTTGTGAACCTATTTCAGCTGTGGCTGTTAAATAATAACAAAACTTGGCTTGTGAGTCATAAGTAATGCCCAGACACTCATTTTTCTTATAATTATGGTTGCTGCCTGTCTGTTTAATTGCTAGCCTTGCTCTGTTCCGTTTTGTATATCTTATTTTGGACGTATGTGTATGGTGTTTCTTTCTTGGACTATGTTTCTTGTTTTCTTGAGCAATACACTTATGGATGATCATGACAATGTTTGGAAGGCTACATCATGTTTACATATGTCCTTAAGTTTTCAAAATTCGCTGACACGGAGGAGTGAGGAGGCAACCGATGAGCTAACCATCCATGACCAAAATATTTCTAAGATGATATGAAGAGTTGCAGCAGAAGATGAAACAAGACACTTCCCCAAAAGAAATATGCAGACTTCCGACATGAGATATATTAGGGGTAAGCTGAAGTGGCATGTCCATGCATGTGTATCCCAAAGCTTAGTTACAGCCTTCAAACATAGTTACTCAGGACGGTAAGCTTTGACAACTACTCCCATTGTTCACAAAATACTCCCTCCATTCATAAATAAGTGATGTGGTTTTAGTTCAAAGATAATATCCCTGACTTGTGACCAAACAGCGTCACAACTGCCTCAAGTTTTCAAACCCTTCTTGCACTCTAAATGCAGGAAATAACCAACTCACTGAATTAATGTCAGACACACCTTCCATTTATTTGAAGAAAAAAAATCCTAGAAATCTCGTTTATTTGAAGTTGATTGCAGGTGGGCGCAGGGCCACTCCTCCCAATTTTTTTGCTAGAATACTTCTTATACACCACCTGCAACTTGCTCTGAGGGGCAGTCGAGTGTGCGGTGACCAGGATCTTTGCACTATATCTGAAATCATCACAGAAACACAGAGAGTTATTCAAGCTACAAGAGTGTGTAAAGTCATTGTTGTGCCTTCTTACATTAGCTGTGATTCAGTAAAGCCAGTATAGTGTTTGAGAGTGCGAGTCCATGAATCGGTCTTCTTGAGTGTGAGTCTGGCTGCATAGACAGCAGCAACAGCAACCATGGAGGGCTTGGACGGCACCAGCGCATATTGCATCAGTGCCAGTTCAGCAAAAAAGGACACCATGTTCATCATCTGCATCCATCGAGAGAGAGAGAGAAACTTCGGTACGCAAACTCTTTCCTTTACAGTGCAAATACATCTGAATTTACATATGGTACATTGTATTCTTTACCTCCCCATAGTTCTTCAAATTGAAGTAAGACGCAGCCATGGCAAAGCGCGCAAGGAACACATAAGGTGTAGGAACTGTCAGGTTCCATCCAAGCCGATTGAGAATGGCTTTCTCCATCCTCAGTATCTGCTTCCTGGAGTAGGCATTGTCTGTTATACAGACCAAATCCCTCACCTGCAGGTGTGTATATACAACCAATCAGAACATGGACTCGAGATACTGCAAAGTGGAAAAGCAAAGGGGGTGGGAGAAATTTCCAGTCTACCTGTGGAAACATCACCTCCTCGTACTTGCAAGCAATCAGCAGGGCTGACACGCCTACCAGCTGAAGCTCCCTCCGAAGCACGAGCTGCTTCGTGAGATACCGGTCGATGATGTACGCCGTAAGGTAGAGGGTCTCCGGCATGAGATCAAACTCGTCATGCACTTCTATTATCCAGTCGACGAGGATGGCCCGCATCTTGGAGCTGAGATGCACCTGGGAGTGAATGTAGTCGCGGGGGCGACGCTCATTCTGCGACAGGACAGGAAAGATCACCTTCAGAGACAAGCAACAGATCACAAGGTTTTTGCACACACCACCTAAGAAGTACTCCCTCTGCAGTTACCTCGGCAACTTTATAGAACTTGTACAGATCATTAACGTAATCCATGAAGGTTAGCTGATTGTCGCCGCTAACCTTATCAATGTCTTGAATCACTTGTTATCGCAGTCGGAAACTGGCAATGTAATGGTGGATCAGGCTCATTGCACAGGTACTCTAAATGATACTCCCTCCGATCCTAAATATAAGTCTTTCTAAAGATATCAATATGGACTACATACGGAGCAAAATGAGTGAATCTACACTCTAAACTACGTCTATATACATCCGTATGTAGTCCATAGTGAAATCTCTAGAAAGACTTATATTTAGGAACGGAGGGAGTACTATCTTATTTTGTTGATAATATAAACCGATGTCTTGTTTAACAGAGCTTACAGAAAAGTAATAAAGACTAGTAAAAGGACTCTCCCCGGTGTAATTTAGGTCATAAGCACCCAGGGTGCCTCAACAAACACAGAAAGAGAGAGAGAGAGAGACAGAATAGGGGCAACAGTTCACAAAGAGGTATGGGGCATCCTAATGCCAAAGCATCGCAGGCAAAGAGGTATGAGGGGTGAGCGAGGGTGTTGATCACCTTCTTTCTCGAGTACTTGGGACGGAACTGACGCTGCCCTAGGACAGCTGCCTCGCGCTCACGCCGGAGTCGGGGCTGATCTCAATGGCGTGTTCGGGGAGAGGAGGGGTAGAGTGGCTTAGCATGAGCCCTCCTCGCCAGGGGTTAGTTGCAGCGGGGATTCCGCAGCAAAGCCACGTTCCGATTAGCAAATTTTACCGGCTTCTGTTATGGTATAGGTAAGGAGATATTTTCACTTGACCGTCCATTGATAAAGGGTAAAATCGTCCCTATGAATGTTCCACCTATAGCAAATTTTACCGACTTTGTTACGGTAATAAGGAAATATTTTTAGTGGATTCTCTTTTTAGTTCACTATGTATCAAGATCTGGATATAGTCCCGTTTATAAAAAAAAGAAAAAGATCTAGATATAGTTGCACACGATTGACGTCATTAATTTACCACCCTCATGCCGAATTATTCTTTTATATGTATATACTTTCCTTACTG